TGTGCAGAGATAGTCAAAATTCGTATTTAAATATAAAATGAATAAAAATAAAAGAATTATTTCTTTTGTGATGGACAAAATTTCTATCCAGGTATAAAATAAATAAATGTAAAATAATTATTTATAAATAAAATAATTATTAATAAATAAACGTAAAATAATTATTTATTTTGTGGTGGGACGAAGTATTTTATTTAGTCCATATAGCGTTTTCGATTTTTTGGTTAGAGTCACTTTTCAGTGCATTTTGAGAGTACAAAACAATTTTCACTTTTATGAGACATATATATTTTAGTTTTTAATACAAGTTCAACGTCACCCTTATGTCGTTGCAATCCGCGACATATAGTGGAATTTTCAAGTTGTGTAGACATAGGATGCTCATTCATTGCTTAAAATAAGCAAAGCATTTTTCGTAAAACATTTGTTTGAATTTTAATTTGTAAAATTGTCAGGTTGAAAAGTTATTGGATTGTAATATAACCATAGGATATTAATTACAAAGGGCTTTAGAATTGTATTTTACAAATAAAATACAAATAATACGGGGTATATACGATTTATATAATTTATATAATTGAATAAATATGTATGTAATTATATTGATGTGCTCACAATTACGCTGACAGCGTAACTCTATGAAAATATAGAGTTCTCTATTAAAACGCGATGGTGTAAAAAACAATATGGACTGAAACAGAATTACACACGAGGGATAATTACTATATAATTAAGTATGGCATAACGCTAATTTAGCATAAGAATCAAGGTTTTCCTATTATCCATACCCAATTTAAAATTATACATACGGTAAAAAGAACATAAGAATTTCTTGTAGAAGCAATATTAAATGAATAATACAGAACTTGTAGTAAGACTGCAAATTTGTCTTGCTTTACATGCCACAAGCCTACTTGTTAAGTTCAATACTTCCTTTTCTGTTAAATGAAGTTATAACTTGAATCGCGAAATGAATTGTATTTTGCGTTGAGCGAATAAATTTGTATGTATACTTATTTGACTAACAAATAACGGCTCAATCGTATTAACGTCACGAATGACTCGCTACACAGTGTTTTATTCGTAATCAATTATTCGAATGAAATTTTACCCATCTCTAACAGTGTGCGGCACTACGAATGATTCAATATGGCCGCAATCCTGATTTGAATAAATTAGAGAATACTCTTAGCTCTAGCATGAAGAAGGGTGGGTCACTGATTGCCAGTATTAGGAGAAATATCATCCCATGATTATGATTACTAAGTAATTAGTAATCATGATTGACGACTGATGAATAATTAGTGATATCAATTAATAGTCTGATAAATGTGGTTTACAATTATAAATTATGGGGTTTATAATTACTCATCAATCTGATAATTGTGTGTGATTATTACAAACGTAATCAAAATTTAATCGTATAGTAATCACTGCCAAACAGTATACCCATCGAATATCCATTAATTTTGGGACAATATCGAAACTGATTTCGACAATGAAGAAATTGTTTATATTAAGAACTGGACCTTGCATAAATGTTGCTCATGTATTCGTTGATTAGTGAACAAGGATTTAGAACTTTTTCATTCAAATGTCTGCATGTTTTTAGATGCAACACGATGGGACAAACGTGCCTTCGCTATGCGCACTCTCACACCTCGTCAAACGACTTCAAAGTCAGACATTGAAGTGGAATTACAATCTGTGTGAAATTCTTGGAATACTATTCACATGAAGAAGGAACAAAAATTGACAAAATGGCACGACGACTCTAGAAAAACAAGTTTCAATTTCACAATCATTCTTGATCGTTTCTAATAGTAAACAAAATCCTTTTTCCTTGAACTTCAAAATTTTAGCTGAGTTATAATATCAATTACTTATCGAATTAATGAATTTTTCTACATAATTTTACAAGTGTATCCCAGTCATTCTATTACTTTTAGAAAACGCAACAAAAAGAAATTGGTCATTTTGAAACCTCTAATATGAGAAAACTCTAATTACTAATACAGTTGATTTGGCTCGTGACACAATTTAACATATTTTCAAACAAATTAGGTTATCTCACTCTTGATACATTGTGCTTTCACAAATATCACAACAAATGTGTTTATAGTAATTGTTTACAACCCAAAATCTAAGATAACATTACCTACCCCCAAATAAGAATTAGTTTTCGAAGACTATAGGTACATGTCTAACATCAAATACAGTGGGTGTAGATTGTATTCGTACACCGATCAATTTCCTAAAAAACTTTTGTGTGAAATTGTAGTTTCTTAACTTCTTTTTTTATAATCAATGATATTTTACATATTCTCGGAAGTCTCTAAGATAGATGTAGTCCAAACAACATTTACTAGTTAATATAGTTTGTGAAATTAACAAAAAAATGCGAAAAGTGGGTAAAAGTATAGAAGCAATAAGTATTTGTACGATTCTTATGACGAACCATTTACAGTAAAGTTTATAACATAAACACATTAGTTTATTGCTCCGTACGAATTAGAACACATCAAATTTCCAGTATAGTACTTTTAAAAATGGCTCTAATAGAGGAATTGAAGAAGATCCCATTTCGAATAACTAATAATTTAGTTAATTTAACGCTTAGAAGAGTTGCAATAATTATAAAATCAAAAGGAAATCCCACGAAGGAAGTATTATATACTTGTAAATTAATGTAAATGTCTTTTTTTTTAACGATGTTTTAAAAACTAAACAGTTGTGCGAATATTGCTTCAATATTTCTATCGATTAATTGTTTTTTTTCTTGTTTACTTCGCAACTTACATAAATAGCTATTTTTTTTTACTCTATCTATTCTAGAGATTTCCGAGAATATGTAGAATGTCATTGTTTATAAAAAATAAGTTAAATTATAAGCTATGTAAATTACAATTTTACATAGCTTTTCTAGAAATTGATCAGTCTACGAATACTTTCTACACCCACTGTATGTCAATATTTTAATGTGAACAGTTTCAGTCTGTTTCCAATTTCGATCGAGTATCGAATGATTCTTTACTCGCATTTAAAAAGAAATAGTAATGTATTAAATCATTTTGTTCAGAAATAATAATATTTAGTAATATTAATAAAGCCTCGCACAAAATAGTCATCATTAACAATTTCATCCATCCACGATCACTGAAATATTACTGAATATCTGTCTAACCATCAGGAGTTAACTATAACATGAAACTTCGAGGAACATCGTCCCCGAATGGTTCCTCAGAGACACGATGAGTATTATTTAAAATTTCATGTTATTAATCTCCACACTGCAGAAGTTTTAAAAGTTTTAAAGCTTTGTATGGAACATCCTAAAAGACAAACTACAAATTGCTCCTTCGTCGAAGAAATAGTTAAATGAAGCATTAGTATAATACCTCGATAGATTAAAGTTTCGTTCTTCCCTTCTAAACATCTAGTTGTATATGTATATTGTTTATAATCATTTTCCGACTGTTTGTTCGGGAGACACGTTATTCGAAATAACTTATTGAATTCTACGAATTTTTCGAGGTGTCCCATATTTTTTAAAAATGCAACAGAAATGGTTGTTAAACATCTTAAACAATTGATAACAACATATGACTCATGACGCCATAAAAACAAATCAATCAAAATAAAAGAATCGTTAGGAAGAATTAAGACAATCTTTTTACTACTACCAATATTTGAGAAATAGATATTTCTACATACCTTTTTGATTGTACTAATTAATAACTGCATTTTTTAATTAATAACTTCACTTTCTTAGCTGGTAGCAACATTGCTATTGGTCAAAATTTAAACTCTAACAAGATATTTACATTCCATTGAAAGTCACCTTATCAAACCTATGAACAGCGTAACTGCATCTAATTGTGACACTAAACCATGCGACGAAAATTCAGTTTATTTCTTCAGTTGCTTCTTTATCTCTAAGAAGTAGTTCATCAGAAAATTATGAAGTTTTGTATGATAACTTTTATACATGCATGTGATGTTGATGCTATTAAACTTTTTAGAAAATTTTAAGAGGGGGTGAGGATATTAAACTAATTAGTCTATACATATATTAACTAGTTAATATAATATCCTTACAAATTGAACAGTATCAACATCACACATATAAAAGTCATCATACCAAATTTCATTGATCTTTGGTATGTTTTATATCACAATTGTATAAAAAAAAGAAACCCTAAAATTGTATATGATTACTATATTCTATATATGCTACAATGATAATAAATTTTCAAAATAAAGATATAAATGAAATGAATTTTGTCTAATCTCTAAACTAATACTATAAATGTTCTACAACAAGGTTGCTAGCTAAGTAGCTTGCAAAAATCATCATTGCTCCCCCACAGACGCTACAATTCACCTAATCAAAATCTGACAGTTTCAATTCGAAATCCCGAAAGGTCCGAAAAATCAAAAATTTAAATACCACGGTCGAAAACCTTAAACTTAATCGCAATCACGATTTACTCAATTTGTGGGAAACATTTGAGTTGCGCACCCCTGGTATACGTGCACTTTCCGCGACGCAAGGTTCGCGGCGCGGGCGCGCCTGCGTGTTCTCGTGATGTCCACCGTCGTGGAAAGAAAGAGAACGGGAATGGAACGAGGCGAAAGAGTGGAAGCGAGATAGGGCGAAAGAGCGAGAGAAGAAACGCGGCAGGGTGCACGCGCGATGGAGAAAGAGGAACGTTGCAATATGGCGAGCGTGAGAATGGGACGGAAGGTACCAAGGTAAGTTGATAGGAAGGAAGGAAGGAAGGAAGGAAGGAAGGAAGGATGTCGATGTTCTCCCTACGAATGTGTTGGCACTCATGTGCTGGCGTTGCTGGAGAAAAGGGAGTAGGGGGGATGGTTTGAAAACGAGGAAGCGATCGACTGTTGGAGGGGGTGGGAGAGCACGTATGGTCGGAGGACCCGTGTGCATGTTGCGTACCGCGTCGTTAACGATATCACCAGCTATACTTGTTACCACGTACCTCGTCTTCGCCGGTGGCCACCGTGTTGACGGAGTCCATACTCTGAGAGAGCGGCGCGTCCATGATGCAAGCGAGTTTGCTTGACGGTCCGGGATTTCCGGGTGCTGCGGTTCGAGCGGGTGGCGGCGAGGAATCCACCGTATCCCGTCTCGGGCGTTTTAAAGCGGGCGGCGTTATGGTTGTACCGGCGAAGACGACAGGCGCCTCCAGGACGTATCAGTGGGGATAACCCTTTACTCGTAAGAGAAAACTCAGGCGTTTCGCCTACTTCCTCCTTCTCCACCTTTTCCCTTCAAGCTTCCCTTTGTCGCTTTCCGTTGCCTTCCGTTCTCCCCCTCTCTCTTGCTCGCAATATCCAGTTGGATTTCACTTCTTCTTCCGCTTCCTGTTACGTTTCTTCTTCGCCGCCTCCACCGCCACCACCACCTCCAGCCCTACGACAGCGCGGTGCTGCTATCGGCTTCTCGATGCACCTGTCACACGCTGCAAGGGCGTCCAGAAAGACCAATGACGGAGAGAAAGTAAGAGAGGGGGGAGGCGGGACGGAGAAAGAGAGAGAGAGACAGTCTGAGCAATACGTAGAATGTGTATGTAGCCTGCAGGTGTTCCCACGCGTCTATTTTAGAGCAATCGATACACCGTGCCCGTGGAGGAGGGCCGAACCCAGAGAACGTGCTCTACAACGGTGGGCTCGTCGACGACACTTGTTCATCTATCGCCGGGATTGCCCTGGTACAGCCGGTAAGGTGTCGAACCCACTCCGTTCCCTCGACGCGTCGCCGCTTCGTCGACGATACGATTAATCGTGTCAGCAATCGATGTCCACGACGACCAGGAGGACGTGTATCCGCGTACGACTTGCGCGTAGACAGGTAAACGGCGATTCGCGGAAGACGTTATTAGCGCGTTTTCCTTCCTTCTGTTCTTTTTCGGAGCGCGCCGCGTGCGACCGTCGTTTGTACTTGTGAGCTGCTGATGTTTATATGCGTGTGACTGTGTGTGTATGTGTAGAACGGTTTTACGTATGCGTATGTGTGTGTACGTGTGACGATTCAGGTGAGAGGTTAACGGAGAGACCGAATAAAAGACGAGTCGATTGAGTGTGAAAACGAAAAAACATGGACCGCAATTATAAATGAACGAACACACCGGCCAGGCAAGTAAGAATAATAATAATATTGTTACGTAAGCACTACGACACGAATGGTACGCAGGTTGCCGATAGACTGACGGACTGCGAACGAGCGCGACGCTCGGAGACGGTTGCGCGCGCGGGGTCGGCTCTCGCCGTCGGCGCAGAGGTGGGGCGCGGTGGGGTGGCCCGCGGGCCACTGGGTCGGGGTAGGTGAGTGGGCGGCCTGGAGGGTGGGGGTCACGCACGAGGTACGACGAGGGGGTCAAGGGGCAAGGCACGCGCCTAGAGGGGACTCGCCCTCCACCTATTCTACCTTTTCCAACGGCGATGCTGACGGCGACTACCGACCCGAGGAAACTGAGCTCTATCAAACGGAGGCATCGCCGAGTTTGTTACGAGGGAGGAGGAAGAGAAAAGAAAACCCGAGGATTCTCTCCAGCTTCGTCGTACGCTTCTTTCAATTCCCCGTGAACGCAAAGTTCAGGGAAATTATGTTGACAACCACCCCCCGTTGCTATGGATATAGGTTGACGTAGCGCCTTTCAGAGCAACGTGTTTGGCAATATCCTTACACCGTTCGGACCTTTGCAAGCTGATGAGAGCGACGAAAACGGAAATGTGTGCCGCAGCAGGTTTACCTGTACGCACAGGTGATTTCAATGTACAGCGTGGAACGAAAGTAATCGCACACTGCTAGATCGACGATTGTTGGTATTCAAAAACTTTCTGAAAAAATAGAGTTGGGGAGACTGAGGTCAATCGGAGCGTTTTTTTATGAAATAGCTAACTGTGAATACAGTATATGTCCTATCTGTTTGGTCATGAAGCTTCATTATAACTAGATCATTTTGGTTTCAATCAGTACTATTGATTTGACTTTAGAAGTACCTGCCATTAAAATAGAAGTTTTTTTGGGTCAGTCTCAAGAAACGTTTCAAATGACCCCTTGCTTGGGGTTAGTTGACATATCTATAAACAGAAGATAATAATAATTGATTTATTTCTTAATATTATAAGCTTCGTATTAGCCAATCTCATTAACCTAACTCAGCATTATAATACGCGTATATATATATATTTACCATATAAGTTAATAAATTACAATTTTTCATAGTTTTTTTGGAAATTGATCGGTGTACGAATACTTTCGCATATATATATATATAAATTGTAATTTATTAACTTATATGGTAAATGGTTCGTCATAAGAATCGTTCAAATACTTATTGCTTCCATACTTTTACCCACTTTTCACATATTTATATAATTTCATAAATTATATTAATTAGTAAATGTTGTTTGGACTATATCTCTCTTAGAGATTTCCGAGAATATGTAAAATATCATTGATTGTAAAAAAATAAGTTAAGAAACTACAATTTCACACAAAAGTTTTTTGGGAAATTGATCGGTGTACGAATACATTCTACACCCACTGTAGATCTGCTGGTCCAAATACAATTTAAATAGAACACGTCAATTACATTCTCTAAAATGATTAAGAAAAAAAGAAAATTTAGAAATATTGATACTCTATTTCAATAATTCGTCAAAATTGGTGTAAAACCATTATAAACAAATTGAGCGATTGTAAAAACAAAAAGTCCGAAATAAATGAGTCACGTTGACTAGTTTGATCTAGCGTTAAAATTGTTTGACAACAGGTTGGATCCTTTCCTCGTTAGAATCGTGAAATATTACCTCACCACTGGTTTGAAAATGAAAACACCATGCTTAGTTTTGCTTAATTTTAATCAGACATCTGCATTTAGTAATTTCCACGGGGTGCAGATGGTATCGAGTCCTCAACGGTATAGGGTAGGGGGACAAAGAGAGAGCTATGCGTGTTACTCCGTTCTACTCGAAAAACTTCGTAACCATACGCTTTCCCCGTGACTAACAGGTGGAAGTCGTTTGGAACATACAGCTTTCCTCGAGATTAGCAGGTGGAGGATGCTACTGCTAGCCGTCTCGCGGATTATTTCAAACCGGGTCTAGAGAAACTACCTTCCCGTAGAAAGCAGATGGAAGACTTACACAAAGCGTGTTTCAGATGGATTGCATCTTTTTTTCTTTCGTTAGACAACATTACCGAGAACAATGGACAAGTTTAACTCCTCGAACCTGCACATTGTAATATACTTAAATTATAATATTATCTTTTTACTGTGTTGTATATAGAAGATTATATTTATTCTTTATATAATAATAAATGTGTTAATTTATATGAACATAAACTTTCATACTAGAAATAAACAGATAAATATTGAACATTATCGATAAGTAATACATATGCGTAGGATAATCTTATAAAATGTAGGTAATTTGATTTTGTTTGTTAAGATTACTTTAAGTTAAAAGTAATCAGTTTTATAAAAAGAACTGCTTTTTTACCATAGTTATAAATTTACTTTCATTATTAATGGGTAAATAAATGTCTTTGCACAATGTTAATAAACATCACGTACGTACAAATAAACGTACGTTACAAATAAACGTTATAAATAAGCAAACAAAACCCGGCATTAATTAGTAGACATTGTCAACAAACCCTAGTAATAATAACTGAAAGTATTTATTTTAATTAGGTCATAAGGATGTTTTGGAGATATATCAAAATAGTCAGTATTTATTTTAATTAGGTCATAAGGATGTTTTGGAGATATATCAAAATAGTCAGTATTTATTTTAAAAAGTTCTAGATTATTTTGATAAGTTTCCCAAGGTCCCTCAAAAAATTTAAAGTCGTTTTACTAAACCGTTCACAAGGTATAACAGTTTCTATGTATAACAAATTTACATATAGTTAAATCGAATACATGCTATCACGTTAATTCAAATGGACAAATAGTATTAAAAGAATATCAAGAATAATAGAATAAAGAATACATTTATAAATTAGTAATTTAAGTATCTAAAAAGTGAATACGTAAATAATATTTACTATTTACAGAATTGTTTATAAAAAAAAATAAAAATAAAAATTTATATCATTTACTTTAGATATAGAAAAAACAACAAAATTTGTGATAAATTAGAAACTTGACATTAAAGCTTATATCTATACATTTGTTCATGTAAATGTCGTAATTACAAAGATATTCGATTAATTAAAATTTCATACACATTAATGTTCTATTGTACCTCCCATACATCCTTAAGTTTCATCAATTATTTTCAAATATTTCTGTATTAATATTTCTTCTCGATTAAAAATGTAAATTTCAATTACTCTGCCCAGAAACTATAATTAACGCTAACGAAGCATGCATAAAATTTAATATTTCTATGTAAATCATAAAAAGTTTGCAATCGGTAACTGACCAATTTCATTTGATCACATTTTAACTTTATCTTTGAGGAACTGAATTTTAAATATCAAACTGGTAAGAAAATTGGAAATATATAAGTGATAACATAAATAATACTTCTTTAGGATTGTAGAATTGTCTGTATTAAAATGTTTAAATACGCGTCTTTAAAATGTCTTCCTTTGGTTCCTAATGAAATTTTCATGCTGGAGTACAATTGAAAGGACTTTTAATAAATTTAAATAATAATTATGTTAATCGATACGGTTTATACGTCCCACTTGAAAATTACATATTAACGAGAAACGATTTTCCTCTATGAAGGAAATTCTCGCTCGAAAGCGAGTAAGAACGGGAGCTATAGTAAATAATAACGGATTCGTGCTGCAAGCTCGATAGACGGATAGGTGTAGCGAAGAGAATGTTTTATTGATGGCATATTGCTCGAATCCATCAACGGTACCACGACAGCAAGTAGTGTAACAGCATAGATATTCTCCAAACAATGAAAACAGTGAACCTATTATAATAACAATGATAAACATCGTTTGGTTAATTAAAATAAATAAATAATAGTATGGTTTAATGCTTGTCAATATACAAATTTTAGTCAGTTTATAATTAATCTTTACAGCCAACAAAATTAACATTTTTGAAACCTCTAACTGTGAATCTCTTCACAACTCATAAAGATCATCTAATAATTATACATTTAATATTACATAAGGAAATATTGAATAATTATTATTTTAATACGAAGGAGACAAGGAGTTGTAAAATCGATACCAAAAATGAAAAATTAATAAGAGTCACATCCACACAATTCATTTCTACGTTTATAAATATTATATGTATGTGGTAGAATCTAGAGGGAGTAAATATTATAAAGAATAACATAAATACAAATAGAAATGAAAATGATATGAATCAATTCTGTAGCTGTTATTTATATTATAGCAATCTCTCGATGTAACTACTCATATCATCGTTACCTCTGTATATATTTCATTGTCATCATTAATAAAAACACAAATTTTTATATTTTTCAAGATATTTTTTATGAGAGTTTAACAAGTGATGTGATGTTTCCCCGATGAAAATAAGCCCGAACACGACCTTATTCGGAGTACTTTTAATAATATAAAGTAAACAAATTATTAATTTTGTAAAAAAAAAACACTTCAATGTTATATTATAATATTATATTATGAAATTAATATTATATTAAAATAATATATTAATAATACTCTCATCAAAGTATCATGAAAAAAGTACAACTTTAAATTTTCATTAAAGAATGACTCATCGCTTGAATCCTAGAAGTCGAAAACATTAATTTGGTGAACAAATTGAAATAAATAAATAAAATCATACCTACTCAAGGTCCACACAAGCAAAATATTTAGGTCTTTTTCGGTCTTTATGATTTGAACCTCAAACTATATTATTATTACTGAGTATAATTATCAAAATAAGAAATTATGAATTATACTAAGATGTGAGCTTCCAAAAACTAAAAATTTATTCTCGGATCTTTTTAGAAATGAAGAATTACATTGTATTAACGAAGGCATAAACATATGTAAAATAGCAAATATAATTTAAAATACTATATCTGAAACTACATTTTATATAATATATCAACTCTACTTTCTTAAATCAAGACAAATACTTGAAGTATTCTCTTTTTAAAAAAATATAAATATAAATTACTTTTCACCGCAAGTTTATATCTATTCTCGATTTAATTTTTAAAATAGCATACTTCAACGCTACCGGTGAGAACAAAAGTATAAAGGTCGATAACATTCCAAATATATTGTT